AATGTTTTAAAATTGTTTCATAGCTATGAACACAATGTAATAAGGTAGATGTGCTATTTTGAATTTCAATTTTCAGTGTTGTGTTAGTTCCTTCACTTTGAGATGTTTCCATGAGTCCCCAAAAAAATATATCAAGACTAAAGGTTGTTGACCATTTTTGCCTTATTTTATACATAAAAGAAAACAAATCATTTTTTCCAACACCATAATTATCCCCAAGTATCTTTCATGTTGCTTCAAACTTATCTTCAGATTTACAGAAACTCATACAGTTTTTTCATAAAGATTTTAATTTTACATCACTATTTAAATTTCCAAAGTGTGAAGAGAATTTTGACCAGAATGCCATTGGCATAATCTATGACAAACATTAGAAAACTTACGATGTATTGCATTCATCATTGCTTGACTTTGATTGCTGAAAATCACTCTAGGTTGGTGGTTGCCCATTGACTCAAGAAATACATCAGAGAGTCCTTTAAATGATTTTTTTTTTTTTTTTGGTTTCATCTATCAAGAATGCAAAACCAAACATGATATTCTTATTGTGTGATTAATACCATCAAAAAGGGGCATACACCAACCTATATATATATTTTTATCGGAACCCATATTTTTTTTATGACGTGGGAACCCGCAGAAATTGTGGACTGGGTACCTAATACCCTGCAAAATAGGTTCGACAAGACAAATCAAACTAGGCGAACCATGTTATCGGAACACATATTTGTTTGTACGATGGTGTCGAAAGTCCCCAAAGCAAGCATAATCAGCTAAAAACTAAAAATTCCTAAAAATTAAGTTTAACCTAGTGATATTATCATTATAATCATCATTTACTTCTATATTCCAATAAAAATCTGGCTCTTGAATTTTTATTTTTATTTATTTTTTTTGAAATATTGAATCACTGAAATTGCATCTCCTCTATCAATTAATTTCTACTTTTTTCCCCTTTCCCTAGTACCTTTATCAATTGCATATATTTTAGTAAACCCCATATTATTCTCTTCATTGACAATGGTCTTTATCAACTTGTATGCTTTTATGAGTTGTATACCGTCATTTAATAAAATACTATACACAATTCTATACTCTTCTATTAATCCACGTTGTGAACGTATCAAATGAACCTCATCCGGATCATTCAAAGTATAATTATACTCCCACTTAAAACTTGTAATTCTCCACATATTTTCCTCAGTTTGAGAAATCTTTAATTTTGTATTACATCCACATCGAAAACTTATATTTTCACAGTTAATTTTTTTGCAAATGATTTATTGTTCTTTACACCTTCACAAGAGCAATAATACTATTTCTCTATTAGAAAATCTAATTGCTTTCTACAATAAATATTTCTCCCATTTTTTTATGATAAATCCTTTCGTACGAGCATATTCTGAATATAGAGTATAAGATGCATGTAGCATCATCCTCTATGATTTGGCCAAGAAAACATTTTTTTTTTATTTCTTCAATTGAAAAACAATTAATTTGTGTATTCCTTATCATTTCATCCTCTCCATTATCTAAATCCAATTCAACATCAACATCACTTGTTGAAGTCTATATCTATTTTATAATAAAATACGTAAGGAACTTCTAGTAAATAAAATACCCTCGAATTAATTCCAGCCAAAAGCACAACCATCCGATGATCACATTATTTTGAATTGTTTAAGAAAATCAAATTTTTGTCTAGAAGCTTTCTTGAGCGCTTTTACTATAAATAATAATAATTATTACAATAAATAGAAATTCTTTCCCTAGAATTCTTAGCCTTATCTTAATAATTAAAAAAATATATAAAATTTTAAGAGTAAAAGGCGAAAACACCAACTTTAATGACAATGTGGTGCCAGATGTTGGTGTTGTAGATAAATAGCACTACGGGAAAACAAAAAAAAAAATAAATAAAGTTTTAGTACGGATAATTACTATGGTATTCATTTCATTGCAAATCAACTATCACTTTTATTATATACTATGTGATTCATGGCAATTTTAATAAATTATGAGGAAATAATTTCTATGAAATTTAGTCATCACAAATCTGCTAGAATAATTGCTATGAAATTTAAAGAAGTTATGAGAGAATAATTCTTATGAAATTTATTCATCACAAAATTGTGAGAATAATTGCTACGGATAGATTAAAATCCTACAAAAAATAATAGATTCTAACTAGACTTGTTCAAACGGTTAATTTAATAAATTTTTTATAATATTATTAAAATATTAAATAATCTTTAAATTTTATAAAATAATTATTTATCAATTCAAATAGGAATATACAAAAATAATAATTTAAAATTATATAATTAAAAATTATAAATTAATACTAATTTTCTATACATTAATAAATATTTATTAATATTAATATTATTTTTATTTTTATAAAAATATTATAATTTTAATTTAAATTAAATTATTAGTAGTATAAAATATCTATTTTATTTAATGTTTTTGCGCTAATTAAAATATCACACAACACAATACATATACACAATGCTCTGCCACCGCCTGCACAAGGTTTGCGCCTCTCTCTCTCTTCTTCTTCCTCCTCATTCCTTGATTTATTCCTCCTTTTTCACTTTTTTTTCTTTCTTTTTTTTACTGCTTCACCCACGCTGTTGCTCGGCTTCAGCTTCTTCAACCATCCTCTTGTTTAGCTCAGGTGTCTGCTAGTGTTTGACCGGTGAGCCTGGGCGTATCTAAATTTAAAAAGATACATAGAAATGGCTGAATTGTCGGTTTAAATCATAAAGCGGCAGTTCACAGTTTGGCAAAGAACAGTTCGATTTTGTTGTGTCCGATTTCGGTTTGAATCGTAACTGCCTGTCTGAATGCAAAGTGATTGGGCAACTATGATTCAAACTATTTCAAATTAAAACCCTTATTCACAAGACCGGAACCACTGGACATTTTCTCTCTCATTTTTTTAGTATGGTGGGGCAGTGGAGATCGGTGCCAACAGCGGTTTAAAGATTTTGCTCGGCAAGTTTATGAAGTGTATTGGTGTTCGTGTTACTTCCATTTTACCTGTTGGTAGAATTTTTAAATTCGTTGGTCTTTCTTAGTGGAATGTGTGTAAATGTTTTCTTCGATTGATATTTGAAGTCTTATGTTGTTGTAAGAACAAAACTGGTTGGGCTTCTCAGCTAATCGTTTAGGTTGAAAATCAGCAAAGAGTTCTGTGTTTTGATCCTCTGCGTGGTAGCTAGAAAATAGACAACCTTATTTCTGTAATATGATAATAAGTGAAGCTCTACTCACTTTGAGATATGCGGTGATTTATTTTCTCCTTGTTCGTGTATTGAGATATGCTTATTGAATGTTGTTGGTTCTTTTAATAAAAGTATTTACAAATATGGCAAGAGTTTTATAGGTCTCTTATGTTTTATGAATCTTTATAACTACAAGTAACTGCGGAAAAAAAAAAATTCGTCAGTTTTATTTTATGCTTATCTTTTGAACACTATGAAAGTCAGCATTTTTTTTTTTTAAATTTAGATTGCTTATCAATCTGTATGGAAATGGAAGACACATATAAACTGCTTTGGACTTTTCAAAGATGGAATATGCATTTTGTCCATGGATATGTGTCATGTGTTATACATTTATGATTGATGAGGATGAGAAAATGCCTTATAGAAGGAAAAATTAGAGTTTCCAGTGATGTTGTTAGGTGTGCTGGGATGGTAGAAGCTTTCTTTGTACATGAATTAATACATACATGATGTGACACACTAGGTTCATTCATATCCGATTTGGATTTTTATTTAAGTACTTTTAGTTTAATCCAATTTCATGGAAAGAAAATTTGAATATTTCTGAATTAAGTTTAGATTGGGGAATATGAAATGCTTTTGGCAATTATTGTGAGGTGAAATTGGTTGTGTAAAGCTAAAATTTGACTTTTTTAGTATTTTTCCTGATGTTTTGTGGGAGAATAGAAAATGGTTTTAACAATTAGTTTGAATTGAGGTTGTAATTATATTGCATTAAATTTTTATTATTATTTTTTTAAAAAAATGTTTGAGGTATTTAGTAGAATGTTATTAAGGGTAGGTGGTCTATGATATTGTCTTCATAAAGACCAAATAATGACGACAACAAGAATTGAAAACTATAAAAGTGTGAAATGCATAACATAGACTAAACTCACTGAAGATAATATTAAATTAGTTTCTAGTTGTATATATAGTGTTGAGTTTGTTGTTTATTAGTTAGATTAGCATATATTGTTACTACATCCATTAGTGTTGGGCTGCTATTAGTTTAGGATTGACTTATTAGGTTAGTTTACTTATTATTTGTTGTTGTTGTTGTTTGTTTAATTAAATTAGGGTAAGTATTGATTGGTCTGCTGATAATTTTAGTTATGTTCAATCTTTTTTTTAGAAAGTGACTATTAAATGAAAAGTACAAAAGAATTCTTGAACCTTTCGATTAAACGGTGTGTATTTTTTAAATCTAATGGTTTGATCCACAATAGGCATGGGTACCAAAAAACATGACAACTACAACTTGGAGTGCCGACATATGAGCCATTAATTTTGACTGTGCAAGCAACACAAGTATGTTACATTCCATTCCCAATTTTAAAAAGAGACAAAGATGCTTGGCTTGCAGTTTATAGATTAAAGCCACGTGGTTGAATTAAAATTAAAAAATGAGGATGAAAATATGTCAACGGAATAATAATCTTACCAAGATGCTATCGTACAACCAGGTGGTATTGAAATCCTTAGCGTTGTTGATGATTTGAACCTAGTAGCAGTTGGGGGTAATGAAGGTCTACCTTTGACGCTATTAGATTAATCAGATGATGATGAGGAAGTATATTTTTAAAGGGACGATGATTAAGATGATTATTCTTGCTAGAACATAATTCTTTAAGTAGTTCATACTTTTTTTTTTTTTTCTGCACTTAGGTAATATGTAGATACTAATTGAATGATGTGACTAATTATTACATATTGCCGATGTCTCAGGATTTTGATGAACATGAGAGACAAAGGCAGATTGATGAGGTTGTTGAGCGAAGGACCCGCGCATAGAGTCAGGGTGGTCAGGTTGTACCACCGTATCCGACAAATGATCTAGGTACTTAAAAAAAAAAAGAAAACTTAAATTACAAAGATATATATATATATGTATCTTAATATAACTTCTCTCGTATAAATATCTTATGTAGGTTCACACTCGCCAATAGCTGATGTTGAGGCTACAAATGTAGGGGCTTTGGGTAAGTGTGAAATGTAATAAATAACATTGGTGCAAATTAGTATTAAATTTGTCATGTAATGCAGGTTCAACTTCATCTACAGATGCATCTAACTTCATGCAACAATATTCCATTAGGATTTCATGAGACGAGAGGTTTGGTTTATATTCTAATTATTTGAATAAGTATTAAGTTCTTCAAAAGTATTTATAAGAGGTTAAATCATCCAATTTTTGCAATATTTCAGCATTTTTTGGCCTCGAGAAGCTGCGAGTAAATTTCACAAAGTTTTCCGCTCAAATATTCATCCGACTGGGACTACATGGAAGAAGGTCCCAAGAGATACAAAAGAGTGGTATTGGCGTGAGTTAAAGGTTAGTAGATTTACATATTAAATATCAATCTTATCAACAATTTGTGTATCTATTTTGTTAATTGACATTATACTTAATTTACACAGAAGGTTATGATAAATTACATTGTTCTTATTTGATGAACTCTTAATATTAATGTATGTGCATATGACATTGCAATGTAGAAGTATGTCACTGGGGACCCTTCAGTTGAAAGAAAAGTAAGGCATTACTATGAGTTGAAGGCATTGGGTATCTATCCTCAATGGATATATCATATTCGAGTGAACCAGGGGAGGAAAATGGAGGAGCAAATTGATAAGACGGTCTTGGCTGAGTGGCGTATGTTATGAGGTTCTGATAAAGCAAAGGGAAACTTTGAAATTGCCAAAAAGAATAGAAGTCGAGGTAATGCGTCTGCACCCATTGAGTCAACACATACTGGGGGGTCTAGATCTTTTGTGGAGACATTAGAAAATTTGGTATGTAATAATTTACTTATTTATTTTGATTAACATTCATCCAACTTAATGATTAATATATTATTTGTTCTTCTAAAAAAGGGTTCAATAAGGTTGTAACATATATATGGATCCTCATCAAGGGACACAATCGAAAGAATTACATAAACTCGCGATCAAGACAAATTGTTAGTTATTTTGAAATCAATAGACTAAAATTTGATATTTTATTCAAGTAGTCTTTTTCAAAACTAATATTTGGTGTTTTACTTGAAATCATATTAGAAGGACCTTGAAGCCATCCAACCTCAAGAGGGAACGAAGTACGATCAAGAAGAATTATTTCTCAAGCTAGTACAACGTGATAAGAAAAATTGCAATTTTGGATTAGAGTCATTGACTTCGACAGTCCCCCCTGTACAGTTATCTTTTAGCACTAGCAATAAGGATGTTACAGGTTCATTCACCAATAAGAAGGTAGAGAACCATGTTGTGAATATCCGCAATCACGTATCTCATGTGGACATTCGTTTGTCACACGGCTCCGGATCACCCAAACCTGATCTTAGATGGACCGATTGCAACCCGGACTCGGTCGAAGTTACTTGTTTGCTTGGAGGTTGTGATCCTTTGATCTTAATCAAAATGTATGGTTTAGATTAGCTTGCCACTTAAGATGTGTGGCTTAGATTAATTTGTCATTTAATATATATATATATATATATATAGCCTTGTTTGTTTTCTTGATGGACATACAACCTAGATATGAGAACAATTTGAGAGGGTTTACTCCAACTTTGGAGAGATTCCTTAGAGTTGGAATGATTCCATCCGCCGAGAGGGCAAATTGATTGTTTGAGCTTCGGATGCAATTGCATGAGAGACGAAAAGACGCATCGGCAACCTCGGACAGTCTGTGGATGCTTGAAAGTGCTTGCTCGAGAGGAGTGATTGCTTTTGGAATTTGATTTATCCTATTTTTCTTTCGATTTGTCATTTGTAAATTTCCCAAATATATTAGATACTTCCTTGATTCATGCAGATGATCCTAATCCATGTCATAAATTGGAATCAGAGCGGTTGTTGATTTGATCATAATATTTTGAAGCTATCTTGTTCACAACATGTTCGATCATATGCCTCTATGTCCCGTTTGATCAAATTTGTGTTAAAATATAGGTTTATTCATATTATTTGGAGATAGTTCATAGTTTCTGGAAATAGCCATTTCATTGTTGCAAAAATTCCCTCTCTAGTGGAAATGATAGCTAGTTCCAATCCATTGTTAGTTGTCAAACATGAGTTGTGTTATTGAATTTGTCTCTGAAGAAAACACAAGTACTAGTGATTTTTGGCCGGCACTAACAAGCTTTGTTCGTAGTTTTCTAAGTATTCTTAGACCTTGATTGAGTGATATGGTTGGTTTTGAGCCTAAACACATCAAATGATCAAGAATTGAGTGAATTGGGGGATTAGAAGTGTGAATTTGTGAGTTTTATCGACAAATCGTATTTTGGCTGTAACTTTTGCATACGAACTTTGATTTAATATTGTGAGGAGGTTTTAGAATCGGCACGAATCCTCTATACATTGAGCGTTGCTTTGCCATGCTGCAATCTCAAAATTGTCAAAAGAAATCCTGGAAAACAGTTTTTGGTTAGTTTGAAAATTTTGGGTCCAACATTCTATTTTCTGTTTTGAGCAGTCAAATTGTTCGATTTACTACTCTCAATTGGCTGGAAATTTGTGTGTGATTCTTTTTTGTGCTGTTAGATAACTCCTTGAAGTTGATTGCTTTTGGAATTTGATTTATCCTATTTTAGATACTTTTTTTTCGAGTTTGATTCATGGAGATGATCCTAATCCATGTCATATGACTAACTTGGATGTTCAATATTAAATCATAATAAATCAAAATTTGACTATTATGCAAGAGCTTAGGTGGCGGATGAGAGGAGTTGACTTCTACCGACATGATCCTAATTTTGATGATAGTGGCGCTCCGGTATTGTGATTCCTTACTCATTTTGGATGATATTTCTTTCAATTTTTTGTATATTGTTGATTTTTGGACTTATTCATATTTTGGGAAGATATTTTATCTAGTTTTGTTATATCGTAGATATTTTGATACATTTAGGTGATGATTCGACATTCTATCAATGTTAATGTATGTATTTTGTTATTGTTACAACTTTGCTTATTGTCTAGGCTTTATAAATTTTGGGAATGGTATGTATTTCAATGTTAAAATTGGATTGCTTAATATTTAGGTTTTAAAAACAAAACAATTAGCAAGATGGTGGTAATAATTTTTGCTACGGAAATTTGCTAAAAATACCACCCTAGCATTTTGCCACAGAATGCCGTAGAAAATATTTGTCACAAAAAAAAGTTTATTATGGATTTCTTCACAATTTTATGTCGCAAATTTTTGCTACGAAATATCGTAGCAAATAGTTGTAATAGATAAAATTGTGTTGCAATGTTGCATCATAATCGAAATCGTGACTATTATTATTATTATTATTGTAGTGATGGTAGTAGAATCGATTAATGTTCTACAAATAACTTTACCCGTAATAAGCAATGAAATCTGCCAGTGGAAGCACCAAACTGCTATTGATGTTTTTTTTGTCCAAATTTTCTTATGAAAGAAATTGGAGAAAGAAAATGAAGAATGAGTAAGACTGGTCCCGGGATAGAGTGAAAAAAAATAGTTACAAAGACCACGAAGATGAGAATGTCGCGAAGAAAAATGGGTTTGGAATTTCTATTTTTTTTTTATTAATATAAAAATTAAAAAATAAATATTTAAAATTGTTTGTTAGAGAATGAGCAGATACGAAAAATCTAAATCACTATAAGAAAAAATATTTTTGCAATAAATATTTTATACCTATGGTCCATTATCACTTTTACCCTTTAATTGTCACCTTGGCAAGGTATATCCTACATGTGTCATTTTTTTGTGATTTTCATCATCCGAACATATGTTTGGTAAAGAGAATAATCTCCTCGTTTGAGAATAATAAAAAAATGGAAAGTGTTCAATTGGAATATGAAAACGTGAGTAAATTGGTCCTAGTTACGTAGCTATCCCACTCGCACCGACATCGTTATGAACTTGATGCGTGACTAGATGCCCAAAAATTGCGAAAAAAGTGATACATGTATGATATATTTTGTCATGATCACAATTAAAATATATCCCACATGTGTCACTTTTTTGCGATTTTTGTCCTCTATAGTCCAATCCCACTCCACGCAGTGAGATTGTATCTTTCGTGAACTTAACGTGCGGCCATATGATAAAAATTGTGAAAATTACGAGATATTTATTGCAGTTTTCTCCACCCCTTAGCATCCACTAAACCTCCACAACGTATTCTGGTGCTTTTTGTATTTCTGAGAAAGAAATCTAGCGGAGGCTCCTATGTAAAAAACTATCACCATAGATATACTAGTTGTTGGCTGGGTATTCACTTGGCATGGTTAGTTTACTTACTTTCTTTGCTTTTGGTTATGTTTTCCTTTACTTTCTTTGCTTTTGGTTATGTTTTGCTTTTGCTATTTCCTCTTCTTCTTCCTACCTCACAAACTTATTTTTTCATAAGCTACCCTAACATATCATGCTTTGTCAACAGACCAGTCGCATGATCAATTAAATAATTACTTTTTGTTTGCAATCACAAAATTGATGTAATGCAATAAAAGTGATTATCTCCACAAGGATTTGTTGAGTGAACCAAAAGTAAGAAAAGGGTTTTTGAATTAAAATTAACCTAATCCTAGAAAAGAACTAAAATTAAAAAAATTAGAATGCAAAAGAATTATTTTGGAATGAGATTTGAATTAGATCAATGATTTAACTAAAAATAATTTTTATAATGATTGATAAACTAAATTAATGACATCAACAAACTATAACATCCAATCAAGATACGTCTATTAATTGCCCCTAATTAGGCTAACAATCTTAGGTATGACTGTAGGAATTTAATTGCCTAATTGCATTATGATCTAAAAAAACCTAACTCAAATTACTACTATCTACAATAAGCAGTTAAAATTCGATTCCATGATCCACAAGATGTAACGATCCAACCCATGTGTCCTATTCAAGTAAAAGTATAATTATGGATATCATATTCAAATTGACATTAAACAATTGAATTTAATAAAATATTGGATGTAAAATACCTATTTAATTCAACAATTATAAATGCTAAATTTAAAAAATACAAATATTGATAATCAATAAGAAATCAATAAATATCTAAAAAATGAATAAAACAAATGAAATAGACATAAAAAGCATAAAAGAAGTTTTTGTTGTCTTTCATTATCTGTCGAATGACTCTTGTAGCTATCGAACGGTTCCTAAATTGCTCACTTCTACTCTGTGTCTGCTCTATTTTCACACCTTGGCTGCCCCGCCAACTCCCAATTTTGTGATAAAATCAGTTTTTAAATTTTGAATCTTGGACTTTAAAATAATAATTGGGCTTAAGAATTTTCTCCAATTATTTTTATTTCCATCAATTAATTCAATTAACCCTAAACTTGTAAAATATCCAAATATGCACAAATTTGGTGTAATCCATACTAAATCAACTCAAATAATCCCAAAATATGAACAATTAAAGTTCATAGCATAGGAGCTATCAATTCTCCCATGCTTAAATTTGTGCATGTTCTCAACAGTTGATATGAAATAAACCAAAACAAGTCATAAGGTACTCAAAATCGACAGGTAAATTAAACACAACCAAATCAGAAATCAAACACATTAAGTCAAACCAACATCATAAGGTTACGTGTATTTTTACCATCTCTCTCGATAAAGTGTATAGTTGGGTAAGAGCTCAAGTGATGTAACAAAATAACAGTTCTATATGCCTGCGTAAAAATCACATATTGATAATGCCATTTTGTACCTTATTTTTTTTTGTATGTATTTATGTAAATATTTGTTAATTTTTCTAGTATTTTAACAGCTATTTAGGTCAACTGGTTTGTTTGTTAGAGGGTTTGAATTTCGAGTTTAATTTGAATAGTAAAAATTTTGAATTGTTACGGTGGTATGGTGTGATATAAATAGTTGTTTGATGTGATTTTTAATATAAAATTATATTTTATTATAATATAAAAAATAAAAAATAGGTATTTAATTTGATATTTTTGGAGAGAAAAGTTTGGTCAATAATAAAAATATAGGGAAATCTCTTAAACGAACACACCCTCTATATGATTTTATCTTTATTTGTATTTTTGGACTATAATACTAATTTATATGAGTTTTCTATTTTTGGACTATAATATTAATTTATATGAGTTTTGAAATATTTATAGTGTATCTATACTATAATCCAAAATTAATGTATTTTCCGAGTTATAAATTTTATTAGATTTAATCCATTTTAATTGTAGCTAATGTAATAATTAAATTTAGTCATAAGTTTTTATTGACAATATATAATATACTTGGTTAAATAATGCTATTAGTTTTTATTTATTTCTTTCTTTTATTGCCTTTTCCACGCTATTTATGTCATTTTTTTTATTTAAAAGCTAGTTAACTGCCATTTTAAATAAATGTTAATTTTTTTTTTTTAGATTTGACTCTAAAATGCTTGCCGATCGCTAAGAAATCATGCAAATCGCAAAAAATCCGTCTGAAATGAAAAGTTAAAATAAAAGTCAATAGTCAATGCGAAGTCAACTACAATTTGTGAGTAATGTCAAATGGCGACCATTGCTAAAGCGCGAGCTTTGTTGCTAAAGAGCGACCAATTGATTTTTTTTTTTCTTCCTTTTCTCAGCTCCTCAAATTTTTCTTCTGGTCGCCATCATCTCTTCCTTACACATCTCCGTCCCTCCCTTCAACTGCATCCCGGCATCTCCCTTTGCATCGCATGTATCTTCAGATTTTACTCAAACGAATCTACCATGGTGGATTTGTCCTTTCCCGCGCGCAGCCTGCTCCTTCGATCACATCTCCATCCCCCCTTCTTTCCTCCCTCGCATCCATCCTCTCTCAGGTCTACGCATCTCCAATCACCTCTTCGGCTCTCCCTATATCAACGCAAGCTTTCATTTCCTTCGCCTCGGACCCTTTCCCATCGTGCTTCTTCTCCCCAATTCCTAAGTCCAATCGCATCTTCAAAATTCGTCGATAGTAGAGTGTCTAGAGGTAATGTGGATACAAAAGATTTAGTAGACAAGAGACCGACGATATGCATCGTATAGTTGCAACAACAAGAATCAAAATATGAATGAGAGCTACTTGCAATAGCCAACACGACAGGAGTTGATTTGGAAACTATAACTTTGATTCAAGAGATTCTTGATATCCTTAATCATCGGAATGTTGAGTGATAGCGGTGCGAGTTAAACTTTAATCTAAACTATTAACAAATATATCTATATATATCAACAATTATTTCATAAAAGTGTAATTCATAAAATATAAAGTTGACAATGTTGGCCCAAAGCATAAATGAAACCAAAGAGAGTTATCAAAGGAAATGCGTATGTAGGTAGGTGGGTATCTACTGGGTATAAATTATAATTTTTTTTTTTTTGATCGGGGCAAATCTGCGGGCATTGCCGGTTTAAATCTATGACCTCGACGAGTTCACTTTGACACCACCAGACCGGATGTGTATATGTGTTTTTTATTTCTTATGTACAGCAAGGTCCCGGAGCTCGTTCATGGCACGGTCAAACACCGGCATGTACTCCTCTTTAAGAGTGACTAGAGCCTCTACTCCATGCCCGAGTCTCGTGTCCATTAGCCACACTGAATGTGCCATCTGAAGCGACTTCGACTTGAAATCACTGCTCGTATCGCAACGCGGTGCAATCCAAACTGGATTTCCCCATCCAAAATCGAGGCCGTAAGTCCCGAAACCGCACAAGCTCGAGATAACAAGAACATCCGACGCTTTAGGGGTTAATGATCTGTTTCGGTAAAAACTTTCAAGGCCGCCATCCCCATGGCCTTGCAGACTGGTAACACTAGTTTCGTCGATCCTGCTTATTGCATCCCTCAATTTTCTCGTCAGATCTGTCCGATCATGGTTTCCACTTGCTGCTACCGTCGATGAGAGGAAATTACCGAAGCAGTCGGACGGAAAAGGCGGCCGGGCTTTCCTTCTCAGATCAACTGCCAGCAGCACGAAGGATTCTGATTTGCCATTTTCGAGGGATGCTGCCATGAAGCATTTCCAGAGGATTGTCGAGACAACCTCCACCTTTGTAGCATTTTTTACGCTGCAAGAAGATTCGCTCTGAAGGACTGAAATTGTAGAGGCGTCGAAAACGATAACGCTTCAATGCCCATTTGGCCGACACCTGAAGCCTTGTCGGGAAATGAGAATGGTCGGTCAATTCGGGTCTGTGGGGGAAGAGATATTGGGAGATGTAGTTAGGGCAGACACCATGTTTAGATCCTCGATTGGCATTTCCCCAAGACCTCAAAAAATTTGTGATAGTTGTAGCGTCAGCAAGCTTATGCCAGAAAACAACTCCCATGGCGATGCCGCCGCAGTCGAAATAGTTGACTTGGATCATCAGGACCCTTGACTCCGGGTCAATCTCCTGCCAAATGAAGTCAACCCCTGGTACGAGGAGGCTTGGCAAATCCGTGCGATCTGGATTTTCTAGCAGATCGGACAGATTGTGGCCGGGGAACTTGGCGACTGTGAAATGAACTCCCTGGTCGCTGCAGTCGATGGAGTGACCGTTGTCGTCGACGTTGACTCTCCCGGCGAAAGGGTAGAATCGGGTAAGAAGAACTAAAAGGGATTTCTTCAGGTGCTGTGTAGTTTGAGAAATGAAAGAGTCTACGTCGTGATTAGACGACTAAGGAGAAGGAAAGTAGATGACGACAGGGAGAAGAATGGACCTCACGATCTGGTCGAGCATCGATAGCTTGTAAGTTTTGAGGTGTGGGGGCGTTGGCGAATCGGGCTTGATGTTCTCGCTGGAGACGATGATCCTCTACATGGGAAAATTAAAATTGATCGATCCAAGTATGTAAGAAGATTTTTAGAAACCCTTAATGTGTATGCGATCTGTACGAATTAGCAAATCGATCATATATTAATATTTATAGAGAATGAGAATGCGTGACATCCATGCTGTCTTGTTTTTATTTTCGTTTAATATTGCAATACAACTATAGACATATAACTTGTCAAGTTATATTTATTCGTGAAAATGATTACACACTTTAACCTCATTTTAAATTTTTTAATTTATTTTTTTAATTTTAATTAAATTAATCAATTACCATAATCTTAATTTATAATTATTTATATTATAGAATAATTATTTTCACTGATACATTCTTAATTATCTACTAATTATACCCCTCCTAAAATACCGTGTCTACAGTGCAGCAGACACGGTACATGAGACGGAAGAAGCAACATGAAATATACATAAATGGAAATAGTGCACAAATAAGGTGGAATGAATTGAATATAATTTTTAATTATAATAAATAATTCTTACTTATTTTAATTTATATTATTCAATGTTACCATTTATTTACAATAATATCACAATTACTTACGCTCTTTATAAATAAAAGATTTTCTATCACTTCATAACTTATTCATAATTCTCAAAATATCCAACTTTTCACAATCAATTAAAATTATATAACATTCTCTTGTTTTTAGTGAAAATGTACAAAATACATTATGTTTTATTTATTAGGTGAAACTTTTTTGTGTTAATGCAAAATTTGCACGAAACACTCTCCTTATATAATGTATTCCAAATTATAATACTATATTTATTAAGGATGTGTTTGACAATTGGTTGTTAGATGTTAGTTTATTCGATTAACTGGTCTGGTTAGCTGATCCGATTAGCTGTTTATATTAAAGTGTTTGGTAAAATGACAATTTGATATTAGCTGTTTACACATAAAATAACAATTAAGGATATTTTATATTTTATTTTCAAAATATTTAATTGAGTTTTTTCGGTTGGTAGGCTTTTTTAGAATTTTATTATTAATTTTAAAAATTAGAAAAAAATTATTAAGATATTTATTTTTATTATTTTAAAATATTTTGTAAATAATTAATGCAAATTTATTGAAAAATATATTTTTTTTATTAAAAATACTATAAATATAAAATAACATAAATCATATTTATTAGTATATGTAATTTTATTAGATTAATTTTTAATTATTATATATTCTAATTAAATTTATAGTTTTAAATAAATACAATTCATGTTTAATAAAAATATTATGTGATAAAAAATACTATATAAATAAATCAATAATATTAATATTTTTATATTATCTTTATAAGAATGGTTTCATGGAACTCATCTGGAGGTCCAATTAAGTTCAGATTGTCCAGCTATGGTTACAAATTTTGTACCATTCTTCTTTATAAAAATACATGGGCAAAAAGAATTATTAGTATATCCTTATTTCATCGATGATTTACAGACACGATTGTATCACATACAATCAGATTGCTTGAGCTCATACAAAGACTTTTGTAATTTAATATAACAATATTCTTTTGGTTTGATTTGTATGCATCAGACATACTAGATCCTTCAGAAATTTTCATGTAGATATCACTATTCAATGAACCATATAAATACGCAGTTACGACGTCCATCAGATGCATATCCAAATTTTCATGAACTGTCTAACTAACAAGATATCGAAATGTTATTCCATCCATTATTGGAGAATATGTTCCATTAAAATAAATTGCAGGTCTTTGTGAAAAACTTTGGACAACAAGTCTTGTTTTATATCTTGCAATCTCATTATTCTCATTTCGTTTCCGAACAATACTCATTTATAACCAATAGGCTCAACACATTCAGGTGTTTGAGCAATGGATCCAAAAACTTTTCGTTTTTCCAGTGAATTTAATTCAGACTGGATCGCATCTTTCCATTTTGACCAATTTATTCTTTTCCAAAATTCATCAACTGATCTAGGTTTTGGATCATCGTCATTTTCCATTAGATCAAGTGCTACATTATATACAAAAGTATTATCCGTAATCGTATCATTTCAGTTTCAATGATTTTCAGTCGTGGCATAATTTATTGAATTTTCAATCATTTCATTCTTTTCAAGAGAAATTCTATCATGATTAACTTCTTATGAAGTTTATCGTGATGAATCTCTTCAGATCCATATTACTTCCTATTTCTTTAAGATTTTGATTAATATTTATATCTTTAATCTTTTCATTTGTTTCTTTTTCGTTCTAGGATTTTTATCTTTGGAACCTAGAGGTCTGTCACGCTTCAGACGTGCATCTAATTCATTAGCACTTAACAATTTTAGTAGGTGCATTTTCTGCAGCTATATATGATCTAGTGACTCTACTTGCATCAGATAGCTGGGTTGCAGTTTGCTGCAAATACACAGTTCTTTGCACTTCTATTTCACTTTGAATTGTATGAGGATCAAGGAAACTCAATGGTATTTTCTAAGTAATTTCTCTTTTTCAGTTAATCAGTTTCTCCCCCTAATGTCGGAAAATGCGACTCGTCAAAATGACAGTCAACAAATCTAACAGTAAATAAATCACGAGTTAATGGTTCAACATATTTAATAATAGATGGTGATTGATACCCGACATATATCTCCAATCTCCGTTGGGGTCCCTTTTTTGTATGTTGGGCAATGCAATTGGCACATAACTGCGCACCCAAAAATTCGTAAATGTGAAATATTGAGATTTTCATTGTAAACAAATTGTACTGGGGTGTAGCTATGATAGCTTGTCGGTCTTGATCTTATTAGTATTGTTGCATGCATAACTGCATGCCCCCAAGCAGATACGGAAAGTTTAGACTTCATTAACATGTCTTGCAATTAATTGCAACCTTTTTATAAGTGATTCAACTAGACCATTTTGAGTATGTACATAAGGTACAAGATGTTCAATATCAATTCCAATAGACATTCAAAAATCATCAAATGTCTTAGAGGAAAATTCACCAGCATTATCAAGACGAATTTCTTTATTGGGTGATCAGGAAATTGTGCTCGTAATTTAATTATTTGAGCAAGTAACCTCACAAATGCTAAATTGCGGGTGGATAATAAACAATAATGTGACCATCTAGTAGATGCATCGACAATTACCATAAAATATGTGAATTGTCAGCATAGTGAATCTACTGGCCCATATATATCACCGTGAATTTGTTTTAAAAATGCAGGGAATTCAATTCCCACTTTTTCTGGTGATGGTCAAGATATCAAATTCCCTTGTGTGCAAGCAACACATTTTAACTTATTTGTATTTAATATAATCTTATTTTTCAAATTGTGGCCATGAGTATTTTCAATAATTCGTCTCATCATAATACTATCGGGATGCTCGAATTGCTTATGCCAAATCATAGAATCTGTAGACTTATGGTCTGCCAGATATGTTTCAATACATTAATATTTGTGTAATATAATCCAGTTGACAATGAAAACAATTTTCTTAATATATAATTGTGTCCATCAATGAATTTTGTAATAAAAAAAATTCATTATTTGCCTCATTTGATATTTGAATATGATATCCATTTTTGCGAATATCATTAAAACTTAGAAAATTTCTTTGTAATTTTCTAGAATATAGTGTATTTTCAATATAAAGTTCTACTCCTTAGGGAAGAAATATTATTGATTTTCCGGAGTCCTCAATTAATTTCGCACAACCACCTATAGTATTTACCTCAAATTTTCCCAACTTCAGATTGGTGAAATATTTCTTATATTTTAAGATAGTATAAGTTTATGCACTATCAATGAGAAATAAATTGTCTTCCGTATATTATAACATGTTCAACATTCATATTTCTTATTCTGGAAGAAAATATAAGAAATATATTAGTAAATTTGAAGGATATACATAGTTGTCATATTATTACAAAATATGAAAAGCAAAAAGTATAAGGATTACACAAATATATAAACCTATCTATATGTACTATTACATTGCACTTACCAGATTTTCATAGTATCCACCTTTAGGGTGTACCAGAAATTCAGATACATCTAACAGTGTCTTATCAGTATATTTATCACTACCGGTACAACCAGAAATATTTTCCGAAAAATTCATTTTCGGGGCATTGGAAATTTCCGGGGCTTTAGCATCTTCAGGTGCTTTATTTTTCTACTTCAGAGAGTTCTGATACAACTCTACAAAATAAGAGTTTGAGTGACAAGTTTTGGACCAATGTCCTGTTATCCCACAACGATAACATTTCTCATCGATTTTCTTTGAACTTTGACCAGCATCATCCTGAGGCCGCTTCAAGGGTTTGTTTGGTTCATGTTCATCAAAATGTCCTTCACATTAAATATGCAAAACGAACCTGCCACGATCACACCCACAGTTGGCTCCACGTCCACTATTCATTCCACGTCCACGGTAAAATCTACGTCCACGGCCTTGTCTACGACCTCATCCGCGGTTATATTTGGGAATATTGTTCAAATACTTAGTCGCATTCACTTCAATGAATGGACTTGCACCAGTTGGCCTCGATTTGTGATTTTTTAATAATAATTCGTTATTCTGCTCATGAACAAGAAGACAAGTAATAAGATCACAATATTTAGTAAAACCTCTTTCTCGATATTGTTGTTGCAACACTATATTAGAGGCATGAAACATAGTGAACATTTTTTCCAAAATATCCATATAAGTGATATTTTCTTCACATAATCTTAATTGGGACGTGATTTTAAACATTATAGAGTTATAATGGGCAATTGTTTTAAAATCTTGCAAACGCAAGTGTTGCCATGCGTGTTTCATTTTTGGCAATATGACGACTTCAAGTGGCCAAACCGAGCTTTTAAATTTTTTCATAATTCAAATGAATCTTTTACTATGAGGTATTCTATTTTCAAAGCTTCGTCAATATGATGACAAAGAAAGATCATTGTTTTTGCACACTCTTGGCTTGTACATTCATTCCCCTTAATTACTATTTTTGCAAGCCCCGTAGAGTTGAGATGCATTTCAACATTCATCACTCACGGCATATAATTATTTCCAGTAACAACCAATGAGGGGAATTTATATTTTGCTATGTTAGTCATAATTATATTGAAAATAGTTGAGTAATTACCTAAAATTTGGCAAAATCTCTGCAGTACTTTGATATATTTTTCTCATATCCGAGATAAAACTTGGGCAGAATTTCGACAACACATTGACGCCTCTTTCAGTATTTGGGACAACACTTTGATATAAGAGTCGGACAAAATCTTTACAGCTCGTGCTCGTGCTGATAATGTGTTATAAAATATATAATATAATAAATTTATAACATATATATAACATATTATATAGACATAAAAATAACTATATCTATTTAAATTAAATATAATAGTATTTATATATAAAGAGAGTAGCGTATGTATGTATTTGTATTTCAAAAGAAAAGTGATTGTTGTTATATTATTATTTCAATACAAATGGACTATTTATAGAATAATTTACATTATCCTCGTCATCATCTTACTTCGTTGTTAAAACATGATAAAGACACACATATACATACATGTCTTAATTAATGATGTAATAACACCTATAAAATTTTATGATGATTCATATTGTGTAATAATGATTCATAACAATCATGACTTAGTAACAAGAGAATTTATCAGATGGGATCACCAATTCTTCAACTATGCATGAGCTTAGTGTTGTAAACAACCTATTTTACTAATAAATAACTTTTTAATTTAAATTGATTATGGTGTGTAAGCGATAACACAATTAATGTACATGTATATATATATTTATATTATTAGATAATGTCATCTTATATATAAGGTTAAATCTCACCAAAGGTAATTGTGTTATACATTTTATAGTTTATTACATATGTTAACAGTTATGATATAGAAAAATATGCACGACATTTTTATTCCATCAATAATTAAAAGAGTTCAATGCATGCACTGTTAGCACGTGTATTATAAAGAAGTAAATTTACATATTTTATAAAAATAAATGTAAATACCTTTCTCAATGCAAATAATTTTTCATGTACATGAAATTTCATTTTAGCACTATAAATAAAGATGACATATGTAAGCAATTCGAGATATGATAGTAAAGTGGAAACTTTCGTTTTTTTTTTTAAAAAATCAATACAATGAGAAGTGATATTTTTGGAACAAATTATTCACATCCATGAAGATATTTACATCTTTTCTATTTTTTTATTGCCACATAGTATCAAAGCAAATCATCTTAGCTTGAAACTTTTTTTGTCTTTTGCCGCCATATTCACCGCCTTATCCACCTTTATTTTCTTCACCATTTTTTATGATTGTTTTTAACCATCTCCATAATTACGCTAAAGCAAGTACGCTTAATGAACTCTCGAAAAAGAATGTGCATATTGTTAACATGACTAAACTATTAAATTCACTTAATTCCTATTAAATCTTAGAAGCCCTATCATTGGCTCATCCATACAGGAGAGTTGGCCTAACACTAGACCAACTTAGGGGGTATCACATCCACCACTTAAGAATGTAATGTCCATGTTGCACCGCAAAAATTCATCAATTGCTTGACCCCCTCAATAGCCCGATCAACGATAATGGGTTGTCATAGGTTGACTCTGCCAACTGTGGCACTCCGGCCTACAAGCAATGCAGACTGTGACACTCCTGATATAGTACAAATCATGTAAGATGCCATGAATTAGCACATTGGTGCCCAAGGCAATGGCCCCACAATGTCTTGCATATCATAAACCTTTTCCAAAATGGATGAAGAGCAATTATCCGTTGCCTCGTCAAGTTAGGATCCCGGAGTCTTTCCTATTTTAGCGGAAGATGGTCAAGTATTTTTATAACACATGGCCAGGTTTACCATCCTTATTGAGGAACTGTCGTTATGTAATACTCATCCCTCCGCACTGACTATATACGAAATTGGGTTCAAATAGAGATGGTGTTGCAACACGAGTTCTTCAAACTTGTCTTTTGTCCTCACTCATGCGCACTCAGGGAGACTTCTCAGGGTTTACCTATCTTAAAATTATATTAGAGCAAGCATATTTAACTTTAAAGTTCTCTCATTAGGGCTCTTGGAAATGAATGTATAAACTGTTGACATGGGTACTTTATTTAATCCATTTAATCTCTATTCAACATTTGGGGTATCACATCCTCTTTCTAGGGGTATCACATTCTATACGAGTTAAGAATGCAACATTCACATTGCACCCTAAGGATCTATCAACCGCTTGGTCATTCAAAAGTCCGGTCGAAGATTATAGGTTGCACAGGTCGGCCTGGTACAATCTGTAACATCTCGGCCCATAAGCCATGCAGACTCGGCGTATCAATATTAGACTGACCTTACAGATCAATACGAGCCCTCCCAGTGTGTTTTTTCCCCCACTCAAATACAATTTGGGAGATTTTCCAAGGGGTGATCCATTCTAAAATTAATCTAGAGCAAGCACGCTCACCTTTAGAATTCTCTCAGTAGGACTCCCAAAAGAAATCTTCATATTGTTTACATGAATAGTCTATTCAAATCAGCAACCCTATTGAAAGAACTTTAGAGTTAAACGTGTTTGCTCTAGAGTAATAAGGATGGGTGATCCACTGGGAAGTCTCATGGGGTGGGCGTGAGAAAGGATAAAAGGACACTGGAAGAATTCGTCTTAACCTTTGAGGCCAGTCTAATTCCGATAGGCACGGGTTGTATGGCTTGTGGGCCGGAGTGTTACAACATCGCATCGTAGCTTGTACGGAGCAAACCTTACACTTTTCTACTATTAAGCCTCCAAAAGGTAATGACATGCGGAAGCTACAAATTGAGGGTTGTTTGTTCGACGTTACATAGGTCGTTGTAGTTTTTTAATAAACTATTAAAAGGTGGCCAAATTCATATTCCCAAGGGTCAGAAATTGAATTTTTCCAAAGAAATCGAAGACTGGAAATATTACAAATGGCATAATTTATTTCGATATGCCACTGCAAATTTTCCTTACTTTCGGACGACCATACACAAATATTTGAAGAAAGGGTGTCTCAAATTCGCCGCTATAAAATTGGATGATGAATCTTTTCCTAAGATTCAATCACCACTGTAACGGCACCTCCGACCTTATTGAAGGAAGAACCCCCTCAGAACAATAGAGCACTCCGAGGACGGTCTTCATCCAAGCATGACAAAGGCATGGTGGAAGTTGAGAATGCCGATATTTCAGAATCACTGCTAGGTCGGAACACAATAAAAAAAATTGTAACAAAATTAGAGAATGATGGAGTTAGCTACGAGAACTTTAGGGACGGAATTTAATAAATTTCATCCTTAATGTCATTAGTAACGAAAAAGTAGATTTAAGGAAAAAAAATTGTTAAAAAAATATTATTTTCTTGTAGTGGCAGACAACCTTATAGAAGATGCACGGAAAATAAGTTTTCACCCAAACAACGGGTCTACCCAAATAATATATCTAAAAAATTCTCGGCAACATTTTATATGTGACTGTTACGGTGCCGACTCTTGTCCTTGGGATACAAATTTTTATTATGAATACTTTCCAAGGTATGATAATGGTCACATTCCATTTTCGAAAAGAATTATAGGGAAACGAGTCTTCACCAAGTTGGTGGCTGAGGTGTATGCCGGCGACAAGAATTATGATGTTAACCTCAAGAGAGACATGGAAGCATACCAAATATATTATGTAGTTAGAGTTCAATCCTACCAAAATATGAGCATACTGGAAAGCAGAATATCCATATGATATTAAGAATTTCAGTACCCTGAACTTTCTCATTCTCAACTACACTGACGATAAAGATGATATATAGCCCAAAGAAGAGGAAAACAAGGGAAGCTTTTTAGTTTCATCAATCATTATCTCTCTGATCACACTCAAAGATTTATTACGAAAAACCATAACTAACCTAAAGTTATAGTAGTTGTGTTGTCAATAGGAAGTAGGAGCCCCAACACTTTAGTTAGAGGTTCTCCAAAAAAAGTAATGATTCTCATCAGATAGCTTTGCTCATCACTTGAGCAACAATTTCCGTAGCCAAAAATATATCTTGGTAGGATGACTAGATGCT